TAAATCACTTATGGTAGGACCTAGCTCATAACATGTCCTTCATAAATTTTTGCCAATATTATTAAATACAGATAGCAGTAATGCTTGGTTTGATTAAGTTATACATATGATTGTGCTTCTTCATCAATTTTAATTGTTGGTTATACACTTACAAATACACTCACAAATATTTATAGAACAGCAGGCATTCTGCTCACCACTGTGGGTCTGGGGTGTGTGTGAAATGGGCATGATCTCTGTCCTCACAAATTTACAAGGTACAGGCTGCAGGGATGTATTAGAGGCCTGAGGAAAACTATATCTATCTCTTAAAGAGATCAGTCATTGGATAGGAATCCAAAGTGTCACCCACCTAGTCTACTATAATATTAATAATTAGCTGAGCAAGAATGAAAGTGGATCTTAGCAAGTGCAAATCAGCTAAAGGAATCTGATGGTGCCACTCACTACTACGAGCCTTTTCATTTTGTTTCTTTTTTTTTTTTTTTTTTTTTTGAGTTGGAGTCTCGCTCTATCGCCCAGACTGGAGTGCAGTGGCTGCTCCCGGACCTGCTGGGCTCCGGCGATCCTTCTGCCTCAGCCTTCCAAGTAGCTGGAATTACAGGATGCACTACCACGCCCAGCTGATGTTTTCTTTATTGTAGAGATGAGGTCTCGCTGCTCAGGCGGGTCTCAAACCCGCGGGCTCAGGCAATCCACTCACTTCAGCCTCCCAAAGGTGTGGGATTACAGGCTGAGCCACCAAGCCCAGCCATTTTGTTTCTTACTATGATTTTAAACATCATCTTGCCTGCAGACAGGAAGACTAATACTATAGGATCTCACTTACATGAGGAATCTGAAAAAGTTGAACTCATAGAAGCAGAGAATAGAATGGTGGTTGCCATGGGCTGGGTGTTGGAAGAAATAGAGAGATGTTGGTCAAGGGTATAAACTTTCAGTTATAAGATGCACAAGTTCTTGGGATCTAATGTACAGAATGGGTGGTGGTGGATGTATTAATGGATTTGATTGAGGTAATCATTACCCAGTGTATATGTATGTCTGATCATCAGATTGTATATCTTGGATGTATTAAATCTTTATTTATCAATTAAATATTTTAAAATAAAAATAGTTAAATTTTAAAAATCTTTTTGCAAATCGAGTAGCTCACATGAAAGGACAACCTTATTCCCAAAGTATCACTCAACCTGTAAGGAAGTTTTCTCAGGAGTTTTGTATTTCTAACTTTAATTTTGGGCATTTTGAATCACAGCACCAGTGTCTCTCCTAAGCAATCCTATTGTGAGATCTATCTTTATGTCTAGGATCTTAGCCTATGATTTAAAAAAAAAAAAAGCAACCAAAAGCTCTCTAAGACACTATTATTAAAGCTAAGCACTAATCATCTATTTTTTCCTCAATTTATCCAGAAGTTTCTCTTTTATGTCAGATATATTCCAAAAACTGAATCTATCCTCTGGCAGCATAACTATTATACTGCTTATTGCCTTTTATTCCTTTTGTTATTCCATTGCCAATCCCTGTGCACCAGGGATTTTATCACTTAAGGGTCTGTTACCAAGAGCTCAGATACATGTAGCAGTGTGTATTTGCAAATACAGAATGTGATGAACACATGATACAGAAAGATGCTAACCCTTTTTATGGTAGTATCATCTAATTTACATTAGCTTATCTACTATCCTTTTCCCTTTTAAATTCTGCCTGTTTGGTAAATAACCTTATTTTTCTTTTCTACCAAAATCCACTCAATAGAAATAACCTAAATATCACTGTGTCTCAGATTGCCAAGGCATCATAGCACAAAAAAACCTCAAGCTTTCAGTAGTAATAGTAATAAATATTAATCATAATAACAGCAACAAAATGAGCAAGCATGAAGCTCTGACTACATGCCAGGCACTTTCCTGGAGACTTGGCATGTAGCATCTCATTTATTATTCATAGCAGCCTCACGACATATGTAGATGTCATTATCTATGCTCTTTATAAGATTACTAGGAGGCATACCTGTGATTTAAACCCAAACCCCCAGCTTTGCACTGAGACTGAAGGAGAAGATTAAGGTGCAATGAAAGGCAGGGGAAACAGTGGATGGAGAGAAGGGAGATGAATAATGGAGTAGAACATCCTCAATCCTTTTTCTACTTTTAATTTTTATTATACATTGACAAATTATAGTAGAATATTTTTATGGAGTGCAAAGTGGTATTATGATTTCTGAATACAATGTGGAAAGATTAAATTAAGCTAATTACCATAGCCTCAAAGTAACAATGTCTTCATGATGAGAACATTAGAAATTTACTCTCAGTGATACTGAAATGCACCTAACTCAATAATTAGCTATATCCACCATGCTGTGCAACTGATTTTTTTAAAAATCAAACTTATTCCTCCTTTGCATCTTTTGACTATCATCTCCCAACTCTTTTCACCCCTCACCCTCTGTAACCACCATTTTACTCTCTGCTTCTTTGAGTTCAATTGCTTCAGATTCCACATATATGTGAGAACATATGATACTTGTCTTTCTATTTTTGGTGTATTTCACTTAACATAATGTCCTCCAATTTCATCTATGTTGTCACAAATGACAGAATTTCTTTCTTTTTAAAGAGTAAATAGTAATCCAATGTATATATACTACATTTTATTCTTAGTTCATCAAACATTTACTTAGCACCCAGTACTCAATAGAGCATAACGTAGCATAGTGTCTACTAATAAGGCAAGTTCCTTGCCCTAGACAGTCACGTTTGGCTTAGAGAAGTACAATCTCCAGTCAACAACTGCAATCAATCTCCACCTTAAGGGCAGCAATCAATATGTGTCAAAGTGTTGAGAGCACAGAGAGAGAGGGTGGGTCCTGCCAAGGGAACTGAGGAAGGCTTCCCAGATAAGATGCCTTTTGGGCAGGAATGGAAGCAAAGCATGAACGTTCTCAGGTTAAGGGTGGAAAGTTAGAGCAGGCAGAGTTTGAAGCAGGGCAACATCACAGCAGTGCAGCAGATGGAGGTATGATCAGGGGACTGCGTGCCTCAGCAGCTGCAGAGGAAGATGCACAGGGAAGACTATGAGAGATAAGAGCAGAGGTACAGGTGGTTTGACAGCATATCAGTTTTCAGCATTAGGAAAGGGAGTAAGGAGAGGGGCAGGTGAGGGAATACGGGGCTGCTGGTGCAAGTGTCCTCTAGGTAGCATGATGTGTGAGGTTCTCACAAACCATTAAATCATGTGAATTGGTTTGTCCAGTGCCTTTTGTTATGATTGTGGATTATGCTAATTTTGATGGAAAGAAGAATGATAGACACAAGGGTAGGGTGTCCATAAATCAGGGCTTTGGGGTTTAGGAAATGAAGGTACAGCCTAAGAGAACTAGGAGCTTGGGTGGAGAGGGAGCTAAGGCATTTCTGAGGTGGAGACAGCTGTGAAATACAAGGCAGGTGACTCTTCAATTATATTCTAGGCATTACTGGGGCTAGATATCAGGCAAAAAGCCTAAAAATGAGATGAGAAGACAAGACAATGTCATCATTACGTCTGTTTTTTTAAAGTAATCAAAAGCTTCAAGTGGGGAAGGAGGAAAAAAACACCTTTGAATTTATAATATATCAATCACCAAAGCATAATTTGAGAAAATATCTTGAAGATCAGGTATAAGTAAACATTATTAGGACTTGGACCACTATTTCATTCCTCCTTAAAAAATATTTTTTCTGTTGTATGGAAAGGTGTGTAGTGTCAGTGAAGCTTTTCTTGATCTGGCTGCATAAGCTAGACTACAACATATGTCTTTAGACAGTTAGATCTGGTCTCTGACTGTAATCTCTCCCCACAAATAAGAAATGGAATTTCAAGAAAGGAAAAGGAAAGTTTGTACCCTAAATTTATCAAAAACCTCTTGTCAAGAATACACTTCTACCATAGTACTTAAACTATGGTAACAGAATAAACTTAAAAAGCTATGATTTGGTGTTCTATGGGATAAAATTTCTAGTGGATTGAAGGAATCTATCGTTACTGCTCATGAAACCTTATAACTGGACTTCGTGCAAGCATCATCAAGTAGACAGTGCAATGTTTTACAACTAATTTGCCATCTCCTATTTCTCCATCCCTTCAGATGATCATTTCCAATGGGAGAGTGATGACCAGGAACTATGGGGTAGAGATAAGGCTAGTAATATAGGTTTTCAGGCAACTGTCTTAGAGTGCAGTAGTTTCCTGAAGGCCATGATGAAGTGCGATGTGGAAAGCCTAGAATTTGGTGCCAAACAGACCTGGTTTCCAGTCCCAGCTTTGCATCTTAATAATTCAAGAAACAATGCACACAAAGCACGTGACCCAATGCCTGACACACAGTAGACACTCAACGAATAGAAACTGTTATTGCTGTAAGAATACTTTTTAGAAAGCATAATGTATTTTATTTAAGCATAAAAGAGAATAGTCAGAACCCAAGTATGGCAGGTCTCACTTCAAAGGCATAAATTCTATCTTCATGTCAAATGTAGATCCCTCGGCCAACTTCTTCTGGATATCTGGAAACTAGAACTATTACTAGCACAAGAAATTGGTATTTCAAATGCCAGTTTCTAGGGCTCTTCCCTTCTTCCTTAGGTGGTCTAAAATATAAGACAGTAACAAATAGAGGCCGGGCGTGGTGGCTCAACCCTTTAATCCCAGCACTTTGAGAGGTCGAGGTGAGAGGATTGCCTAAGCCCGTGGGTTTGAGACCAGCCTGGACCTCATCTCTACATTAAATTTAAAAAGTTAGCCAGGCATGGTGGCGCTCGCCTTTAGTTCTGGCTACTTGGAAGGTTGAGGCAGAAGGATTGCCTGAGCCCAGCAGGTTGATGCAGGGGTGGCTGTGAGGGTGCCATTGCACTCCAGCCAGGGCAACGAAGTGAGACTCCAACTCAAAATAATAATAGTAATACATTTTAAAAGAAAACAAAAACCAACTAGAAACTGTAGATTTTTGGTCTTACCATTTTTGTCTGCTCTCCTCAGTATCTGGAAAAGAAAAAGAAATAAAATTATCACCATTGTAAATAAATATTGCAGTGAACATTACACTCACAAATATTCATCTATTATTAAATAAATTAAATTCCAATTGTAAGTAAAGGTTTCCCAATTGAGGTTTTTCTTTATAATAGCCAAAGCTTGAAAATAACCCAAATTTCCATCAACAGATGAATGTATAAACAAGCTGTGGTACATCCATGCAATGGAATACAATTGAACAATAATAAAGAACAAGGTATTGATACATACATACAACTTGGATAGATCTCCAAATAATTAGGCTGAGTAGAAAACCTAGATACATGCACACAAAAAAAATCTACTGTCAGATTACATTTATATAAAGTTATATAAATGTATGTAATTATATGAAATTACAATGATATAAAATTCTAAAGATTACCAACTAATCTATAATGACAGGAAGCAGATTAAGGGTTGCCCAGAAATGGGAGGCAGGAAAGAGTGGATTACAAGAGGGTGTGAAAAAAACTTTTGCAGGTGATAGAGATAGTTATTATCTTGACTGTAGTAACAGATTTACACATGTCAAAACTCATTGAATTTACAATCCAAATATGTGTACTTTAATATTTCAGGGCAGGTACAGTGGTTCATGCCTGTAAAATTCCAGCACTTTGGGAGGCCAAGGCAGGAGGACAGCTTGAGGCAAGGAGTTCAAGACCAGCATGGGCAACATGGTAAGACCTTGTCTTTATGAAAAATCAAAAAAGTTAACTGGGCATGGTGGTGCATGCCTGTAGTTCCAGCTACTCAGAAGGCTGAGGTGGAAAGGTTACTTGAGTTCAGGAGATTGAGGCTGTGGTGTTATAGGACTCAAGCCTGGGCAACAGAGTAAAACTCTGACTCAAAAATAAAATAAAATAAAAGAGAAGGGGGAAAAAAACTCAATAAAACTAAGAATAAACAAAACAAAAAAGAAAAGCAATAAATCATGGATAAATAGGAGCCTACATGTCTATACTATACTATATCTTACTTTATTTGAATATATTAACTATATTAGCTTGGACCTATTTAAAATTGTCTGTGGTACATCCATACAATGGAATACTACTGAACAATAATAAAGAACAAGCTATTGATACATACATACAACTTGGATAGATCTCCAAATAATTAGATGAGTAGAAAACCTAAACACACACACACACAAACCTACTGTAGGATTACATTCATATAAAGTAATATAAATGTATTTAATTGTATAAAATACAATTATATAAAATTCTAAAGAGTACAAACTAATCCATAATGACAGGAATCAGATTAAAGATTTAATAGAAAGTTTGGCTAGCTGGTATCTATTACTCTTTAGTAATTATTTCCAATTTTCTTCTAGAAAATCAATCTTTCCTCTACTCTTGACGCATGTGCTTCAGTGTTGGAGAAAGCACACAGGGTTGGGAAATCAGGTGTTATATCACTCTAGTCACAGAGACTGCTGAGGCCTGAGTACATTAGGGCCAGTGAACAACAGGTCATAGTTTTGCTTGAGTGGTTAAGAGAACCACACTTTCCTTTGAACCTGGGAAGGTCTAGGCAAGGCATTGCTATCAGTTCTTTTGTTACTGGATATGTTGTGGGGTTAACTGTGTCCTCCAAAAGCATATGTCCAAGTTCTGACCCTCAATATCTGTGAATGTGACCTTATGTGGAAACAGGTTCTTTGCTGTTGTAATCAAATTAAGGTAAGTTATGACTAGATTGGGGTGATCCCCAGGTCCAATGACTGATGGATGATTTTATAAGGTGGGAGAAATTCAGAGATGCAGAGACAGAGGACAGAGGTCACATGATGAAAGAGGTAGATATTGGAGTGGCACAGCTGAAAGTCAAAGATGTCAAAGGACTAACTGTCACCACCAGAAGCAAGAAAAGAGGCCCTAATGCTTCCCCTCTGCAGTGTACCACAGGAACACCACCCTACTAACAACTCTATTTTACCTTTCTCACCTCCAGAACTGTGAGATAGTCAATTCTGCTGTTTAACCACCTTGTTTGTGGTAGTTTGTTATGAAAATTCTAAGAAATTAATACCATATATAACCTGGAAGGAACTAATACCCAGGAAAGTAGTGTTCAGTGACATAGAGAAATTGGATCCTGAAGGCACTCTTTGAGTCCCTGTATAAGTCATCCTGATGAGATGATCTCTGCTTTTCATTATAGGAGCCATTGAATGATTATTTTTTTAAATCTTAAGATTATTTGGGTTATTTTTTCTGTAATCTGCAATCAAATTAACCCCAAATAATATGTATGCTGGTATAAAAAACTCTGATCAGTCTTGATGGTACATGCCTGTAATCCCAGCACTTTGGGATGCTGAGGCAAGAGAATCACTTGAGTTCAAGATCAACCTGGCCTATAGTAAGACTTCTATCTCTATTTAAAAAGAAAAATTAGCAGGTCATCATGGTGCACGCCTGTAGTCCCAGCTATTCAGAAGACTGAAGATCACTTGAGCCTAGGTGGTTGAGGCTAGAGCAAACTATGATTGTACTACTATACTGCAGTCTAGGAGACAAAGCAAGATTGTATTTTAAATATATTCAAAACATTTTTAAAAATCTGAATAATTTTCTATGTTGCATATAGTACCAAAGAAAATGTGCCTATACTATACTGCAAAGACAAACTAAAATTACTTGGAAGGGGACCTTGAGGATGATTTTTTTTCTGAGTAACTTGCAGTTATAGTTAAATAAGCAGAGCTATTCTTATATTTAGATCATCACTTCTTGCTGGCCAGCTTGAAACATGAGCAATCGTTTTTATTCCCAAGTTGTCTGTTTTACTGCTTTCTACTATAGAAATGTTATCCTCCTTTTATTCTGTTGACTTCATGGAAATGAGGTATTGATGAATCTAATTATTACTACCATGTGTTTTATTATAAGACTAGTATTATTTCTACAGTTCTCACCCATGAAGCTTTTCCATCAACAGATAGGTATCACTCTGACCTGTGTGCATAAGAAGATGGTTCTCCTTTCTAGTAAATTGACTTAATTACTGCAGAAGGACTGCTTTCAGTAGTAAGAGCTATGCTTAGAGCAGAATGAAACTCAGATTCTTTTTACTTCACAGAGATAATCACTAGTGGGAATTTGGGGATCCATCCCTCCATCACAACAAGCTTCTTTCTGTCCTCTGAAACCATGGACCCCCAGCTGAAAGTCAGGGAGACACAAAACACATCCTATTTCTTACAACTCATTCTTAGACTCTATTTCAAGTTCTCTTGTGTCCTCACTGGTTTGAAGTAACTAGAATAGAAATAACCACACACCAGAGAGGTGGACCCAAGACTTTCATCATTTCATTTCATAAAGAGTAATCCTAAGTGGCATTTAGCCTATTAGAGATGAATTAAGACAGCTGCTTTTGTTATTAAGATAGTTCTTTGTAATTAAATATGAACTGAGCTATCTCTGCTGTAAATTTTGCCTCTGAACCCACAGACTAATAAAACATGTACTACAGATGAAAATTGAGTTCACTGTTACATTATCACAGTAATCTGGGTCAGCTAATCTTATTGCTATCACTGGATAGGTAAAAAATAAATTTAAGTATTATGATCAGTCTTAAAGTTTAAATACAGGTAATATTATGTCTTTGATACAATTTAAGGATTATCAAATAAAATTCCTTTATCTTGAATTAGCTACTTTCTTTATCTTGAAAGACATTCTTGATGGCCTTGACTGAAAATCCTCATTCTTCACTTTTAAGTTATTAACAGAAAAGGTTAAAATGTAAATGCTATTTTGAAAGCATAAAAAAGGACATAATCATTATTTACTGAACTAAAGTTTCTAAGTGCCTCATCATCTAGCTGGTTAGAATTTGACAATGAGATGAGCTAGTCAGTCACATGATGGAGTCCCGAAAAACTGGGAAACATGGCAGGGAGTTAGGACTCATCTGGAACATGAAGTACTACTCAGAAAGGAAGTTTAAGTGGGTGAGTTAGGGTGGGTGGGACTAGACATCCAGGAGGTAGTTTCACTATCAAGACTAGTCACCCTGAGATAATGTGTGGGGAAACGGGCACTGAAAGATGGACGGAGGGAAGGAACTAGCACATACATTTTCATCTTTCCAATTTTGTCTAGGTAGGTCTAGGTATGGAAAAAATAATGTTTAATGTATCATTATAGAAAAACTAAGTTTTGAAAATTTCTGCTGGTTTCTGTAACTATAAGAGTGACATTTGCCTTGCCAATTGGGATAAACAGTGATGGAGTTAACTACCATTCTCCCAACTGGATAATCTCATTCAAATGAGCAACTGTGTATATGATGAGACAACTGTGACTGATGAGACAATAGGTGTGTGTCTGTAGTAGAGTTCAGTCACAGAATCATCATGTCTGGAAGACTCTTTCTGCCTTAACAGTCCTTTATCTGTCTCACCTCATACAAATAAGCATGTATAGGGCTTTGGAATGAAGTACCCTTGTAAAGAGAAACTATTCCTTGTTTTCACCAAGTCTCTGACCATCTAGGCACTGTGCCTTGTGTTCAGGGTATAGGTAAGTGTGTATGCTTAGATGGGGGAAAGAAGGGAAGACAAACAGCAAAGTCATTTCTCTCCTTCCCAACCTTCTAGCCTCACTCCCACATCAGCAGGAGAGTGGGGAAGGGTCATTTACCTTCCAGGTAAAAACAAAAGGAAAACTATTGGATGAGAAAAGTGGCTTCAGGAGGTTGGAGGTGCAACTAATTTCATTTGGGATTTCTCATGCTTTCAGGCATATGTTGATGAGTTTTTGTCCTTTTGCATAATAGGGAAGTTGATTCATGTGATGACTCAAAAGAGGGAACATGCTACATGGATTAGCATGATAAACTAGAGTTCCTTTTCTGTTATCTGTAATGTAGTAACCTGGGAAATAATAGTCCACTGGGGTAAAAGGAAAAGCAATTGTTCTCCTTCACGCCCACTGCTTGCTGCATGTTAGACTCTGTTCAGTCCGGCTCCTGGGGGTGGCAGGCATGCCCTGTGCAAATGCATGCACCAATCTCAGTGCACTGGCACACCTTGGCCCCAGCACTAGGTTTTCTCAGCCCTCCATAGGTATTCAAGAGTATTTATGATAAACTGGTACGCAAGTCTGTCATCTTTTAGCAAGAAAATCATAGAAGATTTATAAAGAAATAGACCTTATATTAGTTTGTGGAATTAGTTACTGTTACTGTTACTATTCATGCATTCATTGTGGAACACTGTCATAACCATAATACTTCAATTTACATAGCACTTTCCCTTTTTTCTGTTGTCTGGCCTATGCTTTCTTATTTCATACAAGAACTTTGAGAAGTAAGGACCATACTCATTATTATTGCTGATTAAGAGAGAAAAAAAGAAGTAAAAGTCAACAGTTGATTTTCTTGTAAAACATCTATCTCTAGTGTCTCACCAGCTGGACATGTCTATCATGTCATCAACAGTATTCTCAAAAGCAGTTTACATCATTTCTTAAAGGATTGATTATTCCAATGGCACTGGAATATAAAGCACTTTAAATCAAAGTTTCCCTCAAATTTGGAAATCAGTCTGTGTGATGTCACAGTTTCCAATCATTTTCATTTTTGTTCCAGTTTGGAATAGGTAAAATCTATCACCTATTTATTATAATATAAACAGAATTCTAAAAGTAGTCTTTATCAGTTCTACTAGGAAATATTAAATCTAATAAAATAAAATGCATTCATATTTTGCATTTTATTTTGTTAAAAGCAGTATGATCCAGATATGAATAATTCAAAAATCCCTAAGTAACAAATCTCTTTTCATATCACGTATTTCACCAGAATGTTAGATTTTTCACAAATTAACTCAAAGAGAAGTGTAAACAAAATCTTTTCTATTTGAGACAAAATCCAACAACAGTTCTTTTTTTATAGACTCTCACATTTTACTGACAAACAAGCATTTCAACACCTCTCATTGGGAACCAGTTTTATATTTTTACTTTCAAATCCTAGAAATATAAAAAGGCAAGAATGCTTATTCACAGACTACAAGTTCCTTCAGAATAGAGACCTGGTACTGTTTGTTTACAGACTTGGAGATAATCATGCACATATAAAAGTAAATGAAATTTTAATTTCCTCTTTTTAAAAAAATTGCAGTTGAACACTCGACCCAAGGTTGGTGTGTGTGTCATGAGGATAACTTTTCATTTATAGGGTTTCAGTTCATTCATCTCCACACTATCACCAGTCTTTGTTAAAAAAAAAAAAAGCACATAGAAGCAGTTGATATCACTGGGTGACACAGTGAAGAACAGGTCAGGATGAACAGAGGCCCCTACTTGCTGACCTCTTTGAATCAACTTCATGGCAGTTTAGTCTTCAGCTTCCAAACTGACATGATTTTTCAGGGTCCTGGGATTTCCCTTATCAGGTATGTTGTGGTGCCTCTCTTTTCTCCCAACTCAGCTACACAAGGGCTTTATGTCCCTGGATAGCAGGACTTGAATGAAATAGTATCATCCAGTTGAAATATCAGCACCAATAACATCATCTGATTGATAAGCCAAGCAGAGATAAATGCTCATGAAGAATAAAATACTTAACAATCTGACTGAGGGGATGAATGGGAGACAGACACTTGAGTTTTGGTGGAAGAAGATGGCAGGCCCAGGATGCCTGGATGCCCAATTGAAACCATACAGTGATGGGAGAAGGCTGCCAGGTCACACAGTTGAAACCTAAATCTTGATAAGAGTTTCTCTCTTAAATGAAAAAAAATCTAGCTAATCCATTCAAAATAAACTTGGGGAAGCTCCTTGCCCCTCTCCCCATTACCTTTGTCTCTGCCTCACCATTATGATACTAATAATTTGATATCCTCATATTTTCGTCTTTCCACAAATAAGTGTATCTGGCCTCTGACCCACCTCCCACTCACTTTGATTTTAATAAGAAAGGATAACTCAGAGAAGGGTGGAGGACAGAAAATATAGCCCTGCCCTTTGTCATTTCCTATCATGCCTAAGCTAGAAGCAGGCAGAATTGTTCCCACTGAGCCCGACACGATATCGGGGTCGGCATGAAAATGACAACTGTGAGGGGCTGGGAAAGCTGGGAGCCCGCAGGCAACTGAGAGCAACCCAAAGGCAGAGAAAATAGCCAGGCAACAGGGTGAAAAATACAGAGAACAGAAACAGCAGGAAGGAGAGAAAAGCAGAATCGAGAAATAAATAAGAATAAAACAGCTATAAAGATAGAAACCACAGCATGAGGGCAGAAAAATAGCACAGAAGGAAAAGAAGGAATGCTCATCGAATCAGAGAAAGGGAGAAAACAAAGGATAGGACCAAAGGAAAAGCAGTCAAAAGCTAGAAATGATGAAGATAATCATAGTGATTACAACTTGGAGAGGCACAAGAGAGAGTAACTGGGAAGGAAAAAAGGGAAATAATAAAAGGTGGCAGAGAAAAAGGAGAATCGTCATGAAAGAAATCTCGGCTATCGTTGTAAAAACAAAAACAAATGTGTTCAAAGTAATTATTTTCCGAGGGTGTTGGGGGAGGACGGCGGGGACAGGAAAATCTCTACTGCTGCCTTGGCAGGCTTTAAAAGCGTCAGCGAGGCTGGAGACTGCACATTGTAGCGGAGTTGGGAGAATCCCCCCACTCACCCCACCCAGAGCACCTTACATCTCTTTAAAATGTCCTAATCACCCAAATGGAGACTGTTGAATGTACAATCCTGTCCCTATCGAGCCCAGATTGTCGGGAAACCTAACTTTTGTAATTTCCTTAAGGGCTTGCTAAGCCCCAAGCTGCAGGTCTGGGGCTGCCTTTTTTTTTTTTTTTTTTTTACAAGTTAAGTGGCAGTCGCTTCTCTTGCATTTGCCTCGGTGGTTCTCTGGAGGGCAAGGAGGGGGCTCTCCCGCGTGCGCACCTGCTGGTCAGCCCCTGAGCCGAGCCGCGTCTTCCCGGGGAACGGGAGAGACGCTACAGAAGCGCAGAGCCAGCTCCTGCCATCTGTACTTACGTCGAGGAAGATTGACATGCCCTTGGACAGCTGCAGGGCAGAGCTGAGCTCTTCCGAGGAGTTGTTGGAGCAGGGCGACGTCTCCCGGGAATCCTCCATCCTCAGGAGCCGGGCGGGCCGCGGGCTGGGCGGGCTGGGCGGGCGCAGCGGGGCTGGATGCACCGGCTCAGACTCAGGCGCGGCCGCGGCTGCCGCCTCTCCGCGTCGCCGCCAGGGCACGGGATCCAAGTGGGTGTGCGCTCCTCCGCGCGCCTCCCTCCACGCTCTGGGTCCCCCTCCCTTCCTCCGGCCTCGGCGCGCCCACTCATTCCAGCTCTCGCCTCCTTCTCCCTCCGCCTCAGCCCCGCATTTAGCGACTCTGCCCCACTGCACGGCCATTGGCCACGGTCCGAGAAAACCTGGGAGCCCCCTGCCCAGTTCGTGACGGTTCCATGTTCGGGGCGGAGGAGGGCGTCCCGACAGAGAAAGAGGACAGATGATGAAGGGGCGTTTGTCCTGAGCCGCCAAGAAGCAAGGGAACCCCCCAGCCTCACCCCAGGGTGGTTACCATGAGTCCAGAAGGATTCGAAGAGATTTTGCCTCCTTTGCCTTTGATCTAAGGAGCCCATGTCTGCCCCACCTTCCCAAAGGCGGGTGGGTTCCTGGGTACTCCCAAGAAAGGAGCGGCTGGTTTGGTAGGAATCCCTACACTAAAGCCATTCCGTTTGGGGGTCTGCCAGACCTGAGTTCCAAATTTACCTTGGTTATGTTATCTTGCTGTTTATCAAGTTACTAAATCGTTAAGCCTCCATTTTCTCATTAGCAAAATGATCACAGTAATGGTGCTGACCCCCAAAGGGGTGTGAGGCTCACCTGTGGTAGCGCTCTTGACAAAGACAGTGCTCTTGACAAAGGCGATGAATTCTGTATAAAGTAGGCTTCAAAGAAAGTTCATCACGAGGAAAGGATTGTCAGGTAATGTTAACGCAGGAAGTTTCCAAAGTCAGTCACAGTAAAGATGTTTAAGCATTTCAACTAAGGCGATGATTCAATATTTGAGGGCTTCTGTGAGGGCTACAAAAATAGGTAAGTGGACCACACATTTCATCAGGAGAGAATCCAAAATGTGTATATGTGGGCTACAAAGTTGAGCTATCTGGGAGCAAGATTAGGCAAAGAAAGGAGAACCTTTTTCAAAGGTCCTGTGAGACCTGATGGAGAGGATCCAGATCTTCATTTTGTGACCTCCCGAGGAAAGAACACACGTTCTTTTGGTAAGACAGGGCCACAAACAACCATAATGCAGGTCAAAATGTGAGTGCCAAGGCATGTAAAATGTGCTATGGGCTTCTTAGGAGGGACAGGTTCTAATCTGGCTGTGGAAACCAAGAAAGTCTTGATAAAAGAAGTGGCATTTGAAATGGATCTTAACAATCCATAGTACTCTATCGTTGATAGAAATGGAAGGAGAAGATATTCCAGGCAGAGGGAACAGCAAAGGCGTGTCACTAGGAAGGCATATAGTAGCTGAAAGTAGCCTGCTGGGGATTCCTGGGAAAATCTCCAGATCCTATCCTTACTGAATTCAAGTATCAAAGGATTATCTCTAGCCCAAGAATCCAAGTCTCCTCACTCCAGTTTCTCTGTAGCAGGGTCAGGACCAGGGTGAGGCCAGTGAGGCACACTGGGCACAAAATGTAAGGAGGTACTTACTCTAAGGCCCCGCCCTGCGCTGTCTTCTTAAATGTGGCACCGCGAGTGTCTCCTTCACTTCATCTAAATACCACCCCTTGCTCTGTAGATCAATGCTTGCAAAACATGAATCTAGTTGTCAACTCTGGACTTTAGAGCCACCTGGAGTGTGTGGCAACTTAAGAATGTGGCCACAAAGTCATTGACACCCTTCCCAAAGAAAGGTAGGGTCTCTCCTCTTGAATATGAAATATTGTAATTGTTTGAATGACTAAAAGGAGGCAGAAGTGACACTGTGTGCCTTCTAAGGTAAAGTGCATAAAAGGTCTTGCAATTCTACCTTTTGCAGTGGAATACTCGCCCCTGCAGTCCTGAACTTCCATACAGGAAGCTTGACTTCCTTGAGCCACTATGCTTTGAGGAGCGCAAGCTGTGTGGAGAGATATCTGTAGACACCTGGCTGGCAGGCCTAGCTGAACAGAGCCTTTGCATGATCCCAGCCTAAGCAGCAGAAATGTCAATAATGATGCCTCCAGATGACTCCACCACCAGACATTCCTAGAATATGTGTTGTCCCAGCCAAAACTCCAGAAATCATAGCACAGAGACACACTATCAGTGCTATGCCCTGTGAGAATTGTTGGCCCACAGAATTTGGGAGCATAATACAACGTATACTGTTTTACATAAATAAGTCTTGGGGTAGTTGGATTTATAATAATAGATAACCAAAATAAGGACCTAACACCACCCTCAAATACACACACACACACATGCACACACACACACGTGCGCACTCACACACACATACACACACACACATACACACACACACCCCAAATTGATGCCTGTACTTCATCCTCAAATTCATATTCAATTACCATGTGGTGGCCCCAGGGCATAAATTTTTCTTAAAGCTTTTTAGGTGATTTTGATGTGCAGCCAGGATTAAGAACTACTAAACTTTATACTGTACATACAATATATCAGAAAAAAAAAATAGAAGACAAGCAGAAGACAGGCAGAGGCTGTGGGATGAGGATGCTTGAAGACCCAAGATAGAACTCTGGGCTTAATTAGGTAGGGAGTTAGAGACATTAGACTTAATTGGGGAGATATTGATTGTAACTGTGTTTTGGACATATTCGTCTGGCATCTTTGTGAGCTTTTACCTTATTATCTGCAAATGTCCTTTTCTGATCTGCTAGAATAGACCCTTCCCCTTGACAACTGTTCATCAAAAGAAATACAAAATCATTAAAACCTGGGGGGGGGGAGGCAACCCATCAAACGGATCATGATCATTCAAATCACTGTAGAAGAAAAACCAGAAAGAGAAAGAGGAGGAGTGCCCACTGTGGACGTCAAGTTACTGAATTTACCAAAATAACATATTGTTTGTTCCTGCCATTGGATGGAGGATCGAACAGATTTTTCTGCAGAAAGTGCAGTTTAAGTCTGGCCCCTCTAACCTGAGCTGTGTGGGTCCCTTAGCCCTCAGATTCAGCACTGCAAGTAATAATATTTGTATACCAATCCCATGGTAACAAGAACAGGTGATGAAGACGACTTTCTCTGATTATAAATGAAGAAGAGGAGAATAATCAGTAGTCATCATTCAAAACCGGGGAGCTATTTGTAACACTTCAGTAAAAACATTCCTTTTCCCTTTGCCAACAACGAATGACATTTTCTGTAGCTGTAGTTTTGCTTATTCCTCTAACAGTCTATCAAGAAGAAATATAAATTATTAAACAACCAACTTGTCATTATTTATTTTTATGATTCCTGCATGAACACCATAATGCTATAGCTGACTTCTCTTTTTAATGGAAATGTAATGTTCATGGAAGGCTCTAGTAGAAATGGATGGCAATTAGATTCCCATTCACAGCCAAATTCAATAGGCTCTACAAAATGGTAACCAAACATATTTTTAGTTTTCTTTTTATCTAGACACTATGCATTTTTTGAACACTGTTTTCACACATCATTTTCCTGAAACACAGATGCTGCACTGCTGTGCATAGTATCAGTCGAAAACAGGAGACAGCAGACTCGAGGGAGGAAATGCATCTCCTTACCAACTTCTTTGTAGCAAGGGCCTAAAAAAAAATGTAATTCTAGATTCCAGCTCTCAGGCTTCCTATGATAAGACTTTGACACGAAGGTATTTCTAGCATTTCAGGAGATGATAACTGTGTGGGAATGTATTGTATTTCAATCCATCTCTGCCTTGTGGGGGAACTATTATCTAAACCATCTGAGACAGCCAGAAATCTATCTTATTTATATTTTAAATTCTAAGGAAGTTTATTCTTTTGAGCAATGAGTCAGAATTCATTCAGCCTGGCTAGTGGACATTTATGATGCCTGGCAGCCAAACCTTCTTCCTCCTAGGCATCTGTCCCCATGGTGTGGGTCCTGATGGACGGCAGGGACCCACCTCTTCTTCAGAAAAGCAAGGTGGTCCCTCTCCCTCTTCCTGGCAGGTAAGGCACAGATCTAGGCTCAGTCAATGGGACACTTCACCTGGACCTTTAAATCTGGCTCAAGGGACACGCAGGGAAGTTTATTAATGGCAGTGGGCACAAGCAGGTTAGTGTCTAGTGGTTATGATACCAGGAGAGTCCTGAAGATGACTTAACCAATTCAATAAAGGCATTTTGTGATGCTAACAGCCTTGTCCTCAGGCTTGATCTGCAGCCATCCAATTGACTTCCTGAGAGACCTGGTATCCTTCCCAAACCTTCTTTTCTGTTTTACCATAGTCAGAGTTAGTTTTTGATGCTTGAATTCTGACTGATTCAGTCTAAATTTCTCTTATTAAAGAGGGTCATTTGTGAAGTCATTGGAAAAAAATTTGTTAAAAACTTTAATTCTCTTCAGACATCTGTTGGGTGCCTGCAACTGACAGGCATTTCTGAGGAAATGATGAAAAAGACTAGTCCTTGTGACTTAAGGAGACATTATTTTAATAGATAATTTTAATGCAGTGAGACAAGGGTAACACCAAAGGTTTTTTTTTGCAGTAAGAGTTGAAGCAGGACAGCAGAGGGAATTTCTCCCCATTAGTGCCTGTTCTGTGTGACCATTTATGTAATTGAAGATGGCAAAATTAGGACTCAGAAGTAGTAAGTGCCATGGGTCAAAATTATGAACTAATAATGGTTATTTTCCTACAAGCTGTTTAGCCCTGAGGATAAATTTTGTTTTGTTTTGTTATGCCACTGTCTGAATGAAATAAAACTCCCATCCCCTGGCTTATTCAACTTAAAGCTTTTCCATCTTGAAAAAGAAAAAAGAAAATCTTTTTTTTTTTTTTTTTTGAGTTGGAGTCTCACTCTGTCGCCCAGACTTCCAAGTAGCTGGAACTACAGGTACGCGCTACCACACCTGGCTAATTTTTTGATTTATTGTAGAGATGAGGTCTCACCAAGTTGCTTAGGCGGGTCTCGAACCCGCGGGCTCAGGCAATCCACTCACCTCAGCCTCTCAAGGCGCAGGATTACAGGCTGAGCCACCTAGCCTGGCTAGAAAAAAAAAAAATCTTACTCAGTATCCTCCTTTAATCCTATATGTTATTACAGTTAATGTTCCCTGTCTTTATCTGTCTCA